CTCTCAGAATTTTTTTAGAATAAAATGATCGTGTACTATACTATTCTCACTAACAAAAATACTTTAGTCATATACTTTAAACATATTGATATCTTGATTAATTAAAAAGGCAACAATGCAGCTAAGAACTGTAAATTGTATACTTTTATTTTCGTAATTTCTTCAAAATAAATCATTATAAAAAGCACCTACGAGGTTTATAATGTTTAATATTTTTTTTTACTAAACATGGCATAGAATCAAAATATAATTATGTTCAGACAGTACGGAACTAAAATTTATATAGGGAAAATGTAAGAATTGAACGATTACTTAGCGCTACATGCATTCGAAATATCGCAAACTGTTCCAAAGATTTGTATCCACAATGATGACTGATATATTCGAAATATATATAAAATAAGGGGTCGAGTTAATAATTCTTCAGGATGTTTTTTATAACAGAAAATAAATATGTTGTACAGTAAAATAATTTTAACATTGATGTTGTACTGTACCAGTACATTCTAAATGACACAGAGATTATCGTTAATTTTTTTTATAATTATTGACTAATAAATTAATCTACAAGTTGCTACTGTAAAAATAGCTTTTCAGACAAAAGACCATATATAAACTTTATTAGTGATACTTTAAGAAGATTTATTCCTGTTTCATGCAATATCTTTATTAAAAGACGCGTATTTGTGTTAGTGAGAATAGTATAGTACACGATCATTTTATTCTAAAAAAATTCTGAGAGCATATTATTCAATAAAATTATAAGCACCATTATAAGTAGTTTTATTGTTCTTCCAAATTAACGATATTAAGAAGTTCAACTTTCATTACTTTTTTCTTTCAGGGCGAAGTTTTCTCACAATCTTACCAGTTCTCCAAATTTCGCTTTCTCTATAAACACATAAAACATTATTACGCCAAATTCAAAATATAAATATTAGTGAATAGAAAAACATTACAAAAAATACCTAATTTCTTTTAATTCCTCTTCTAAATCTTCTGCATACGTAGGTAAAGAGTTCTTTTCTAACACTCGACGTGTTTCAAATCCATTAGCAACTGCAGAGTACAATTTCTCAAAGACTGGTTTTGTGGCATCGTGGAAATGTTTGTACCAATCGAGTGCACCACGTCGGCACTGTTGTCGAACAGGCATCATACATCCTTCAATTTATATTGTGTAGAAGAATTCAGTTGACAGTATATTATAATACAAAAATCAAATTTCAGTACCAGTCCATGCCATTTTGACCAATTAAGGGATACAGAGATTGGGTAGCCTCTTCCACAGTTTCATTGAAAGCTTCAGAAGGAGGATGTCCATGAGCTCGCAACACCTCATATTGAGCCAGGAATAAGCCTTGAATCGCGCCCAAAAGTACACCTCGTTCTCCGACAAGATCAGCAAAAACTTCTCTTTGAAAAGTGGTTTCATACAAGTATGCAGATCCGATAGCTATACCAAGCGCTACTGCTTTGTCTTTAGCATTGCCTGTTACATCTTGGAATATAACAATAGATGAATTCATGCCACGACCATCAAGAAAAAGTGAACGAAGAGTTTTTCCAGAACTAAAGAGTTCAAATTATGTGACATATGAAGTCAAGTATAATATTAATTTTATAATGCAGATATATATATCCATTGCTTACCCTTTTGGTGCTACCATGATTACATCGATATCTGCTGGCGGGATTACATTTGTATACTCTTTATAAACTATTGAAAACCCATGACAAAAACATAAAGTCTTTTCCTTTGTCAAATGCTTGATGAATTGGGGCCAAAGCTCTTTTTGTGCCGCATCAGAAAGGAGATTGCTGATAATTGTTCCTCTTGCGAGAGCATTATTAATTGAAAAAAGATCCTTCCCAGGTGTCTTGAATATGTAATTTAACAATTGAGCAAAATTATTGACGCTAATGCGAATATAATGGAAGGTTTAAAAAGAACTTTTACACACCCAACCATCTTTTATGGCTTCATTCCAACTTTTGCCACCTTCTCTCACACCAACAATCACATTTAATCCATTATCCCTTGCATTTAAACTTTGCCCACTTCCTTGAGATCCATAACCAATTATAGCGATAGTGTCATTTTTGAAAAATTTTTGATACTTTTCTTTTGGCCAATCCGAACTTTCATGTATTTTTTCTTTCACTCCACAAAAAATCAAGAGTTTGGATTTTCCTGATTTGTCGCGATGGAAAATATTTAGAAATGGCACTCTTAAATTTTGAATTTAAAAAAATAATTAGCAAAAATTCATGCATTATTTAAAAGTAGATGACTGGAATTACTTTTGCATTTGGGACTCTAAATTCGGAATTTAACGATATTGAAAAATTCTTTATAGGACTGGAATGTAGGAAAGCCTTTAAATTATGAGGTAATGACCGAGACAAAACGAATGAAGAATTCATCTTAATTAATTGTGATTAAGGCCAATTCATATTTATCTTGCTACACGTTACACTAACGCGATGTGGATCATTTCTACAACAAACAGATAATAATAGGGTATCTTTTTTTTAGTATTTAGGGATATAATTGGCGGCCCAAAATTTCAGTCACCATTTTTTTCTGGTGCACTAGAAAAGAGTTTCTTAAAATGTACAACTGGCAAAACTTTGTGGCAGATTACCAACTTTAATATATCTAAATTTATCGACAATTTTTCGTAAAACCTAATTATATAGTTTTGAGTAGTTACAGTACCTAAATATTTATATCATATAAATCAGCTTTAAGCTGGCACAGTGTTACTTATTAATGAATTTTAAAATCACGAAATCAATCTGCAACTTGATTGTTTTTTAATAAGTAAATTTGTTTTAGCGTTATCCATTCATTCACATTTATCGACTTATTGTCTCGAATTTATGCGATTATATGGATTTGCCAACTGCATGGAACATTGATAATAACCCCATTTTTTTGAGCGTGGAAGGATTTAAAGTAACTTACATAGGTGAGACGTTTCAGTATATGATATAATTGTTCATTTTATGTGGGATCTTGAGGCATGCTTAAAAATTTTCAAATACCGCTAGTAATTTAAGACTAACTAGAGTTTTTTAAAAAATAAAAGGTCCTGGTAAAAGTCAAGGGGAATCTGCTACAATATTAGCAAATAATCCGATTTTTCCACAATATACGTATTAAAAAAATATTTGCAGTATTATGTTATGTTATTATCCTCTCTTAAATAAAAATATTATATTAAATAGAGAATCAATTTGAAGCAGCCTTAAGGTAGTGGTAGGGATAGCAAATGTTTTAAACATGATCTTAAAATTGTTTTAATATATTATGACATAATATGATCTGAATATGATCTGAATTGCTCTCTTAATCCACAACTTTTATATGACAAGTTACCATATAAAAGTATATATAGGAGTAAGTAATTAAGAAATACCCAAACTACAAATTCTGGATGTTGATAAAAGCTAAAAGAAGTTAAAAGCAACAATTCAATACAGCAATAAGGGTAATGTGTGTTAGGGTGTTAGTTTGTATAAATTTTTATATAAGCAAATCTTTTAAATCAAAGCGAATATATGTACGCATTAATTAATAATATATAATAAAATATAAACTAATCATAATTTTTCTTTTGTACAATTTTTTAAGATAGAAATAAGAGCATATACATATAAGACTATAAAACCTTTTACAATAGCACAAGTGTCGAGCATTAGAGACTATATAATATCGAGGATATAGTATGTGTATGTATATCTGGGTTTTGAATGATATTTGATATTAAATTAGATGTAGATTATTGATATTTCTATATATTATAACTATAGTTGTTAGATGAAACATTTTTTGCTTGATGATGAAAGTTGAAACCTGAGCCCTAACCTCTGCTGAAAGTCAAAACCTCAAATTCTTCTGACAAAAGTCGAAACCTCAAATCCTTCTGATGAAAGTCGAAACCCCAAACCTAACTTGATGAAACCCTAGTACCCCTGCTAAAATAAAAAACTAATACTCACTAAAAAAAAAAAAAACTAGTACTCCTGCTAAAAAAAAAAAAAAAAACAAAAAAAAATAGTACCTCCTATTAATTTATTATCTGTGCTAAGTTGTCTTTTATTCAAGTCAATTTAGCCAATAGACGATAATTATTTTTTAATCAAAATACTGAAATATGTAAAATAATCTGTTTATTTTTAATTTCTTATTTGTGCTAATTTACTTAATTGATAGGTTGCTTATTAAACTTCTTATTAACATATGACGCATTTTTATTAGAGTGATATTTCGAATTGCATATCAATTTTGTGATTATCTTGAATTTAACCTAATTAAATCAATTAAATTAAATTCTTATTTTGATTTTCTATTTTGGATTTTGATTTTCTGTTTTGGTAAGTGCACTCTGGTTGCACTCTGAATCTAAAAAAAGAAATAAACATGAAACTGGGCCGAATTGTTTTGGCTATGGGCCAAATTTACTATTTTTTTTATAATGCTAGTAATAACATGATTCTGTCACATTTCAAATATTTCAAATGATCATTATATGCGTCAAATTCACCTATATGAAAGCTAATCTAAGCATAAATTATATATAGCCCTTTATAAACATAAAATATAGTTTAGTAATTATTATAAATTTATATTTTTATAATTTATTTTTGTTCGCATTATTTTCAATAACATTTATCTGCTTTATCATCATCTTTTAGTTTTGTCACCTTTGTAGTTTCATTAGTTTCTTTACCTTTTGTTACCTTTTGCCAGTTTTGGTACTTTTCAGCAGTTTTGACACCTTTTGTCAGTTACATCAGTTTCGACACCTTTTGTCAGTTTCGACATCTTCATTTGAGATTTTAATCATCAGAAAAATTATAATATATCAGGTATTGCAAATTTAGCCTGCTCTGATCCATTGCTTTATTACTCAATTGGGTATTTTTAATCTTAACTATTTTGTACTAACTTTAGGCCTTCCAGAGTTAACATAGTGATGGCAAAAAAAATTCACGATTATGTGATTTTTAATCTTTTTGAACCTCATAATGCAATCAGAATATAATATCGACATAAAAACTTTATATAATTATCTGATCATGAATTTTTTCTGCCACCACTATATTACCTAGCCATCCATATTGGCAGAATAAATTTTTATTTTTTTAATATATTAACCAATAAAAATCCTTATATAACTAAAAGAAATTGAACCTAAATATTTTTTCCAGTTATCAGCAAGTGCTAAAAAATGGTGCCGATGTGTTTGTTTTTTTCTTTATTTCTTTTCCTCATTCTTCCAACTTATGTGAAATGGAGATTTAATCCGATTGATGAGTATATTTTTCTAGTTTCTATTCTGTTTGTGTTTTTCTTTTTTTTTTTCTCACTAATCTTCTTTCTTTAGTAGCTTACTCGGAAGTGTAAAATGGAGCAGAGAAGTGTTGAACTAGACCCAGAAGATAAGTACTAGTTCTTTTAACTTTCTTTTTTTATGGTTTGTTTTTCTTATTCTTTTACTAATATTTTTTTCTTTTGTAGCTACCCGGAAGTGTAAAAAGGCAATTGGCAACTTGAATTGGAGCTGAAAAGGATGAGAATAAGGTATTTGTTTATTATTAAGAATCTGCGATTGATAATTGGAATTGGCATTCATTTATTATCAAGAATCTGCAATTGGTAATTGGAATTGGCATCCATTAATTATTAAGAATCGGCAAATTGGTAATTGGAATTGGCATTCATTTATTATCAAGAATCGGTGATTGGTGGCTGGAATTGGCATTTGTTTATTATTAAGAATTGGCGATTTGTAATTGGAATTGGTATTTATTTATTATCAAGAATTTGCGATTGGTGGCTAGAATTGGCATTCGTTTATTATCAAGAATCGGCGATTGGTGGCTGGAATTGGCATTTGTTTATTATTAAGAATTGGCGATTTATAATTGGAATTGGCATTTATTTATTATCAAAAATCTGCGATTGGTGGCTGTAATTGGCATTTGTTTATTATCAAGAATCGGCAATTTGTAATTAGAATTAGCATTTATTTATTATCAAGACTCTGCTATTGGTGGCTGGAATTGGTATTTGTTTATTATCAAGAATTGGCGATTGGTGGCTAGAATTGGCATTTATTTATTATCAAGAATTGGTGATTTGTAATTGGAATTGGTATTTATTTATTATTAAGAATCTGCGATTGGTGGCTGGAATTGGCATTCATTTATTATCAAGAATTGGCGATTGGTGGCTAGAATTGGCATTCGTTTATTATCAAGAATTGGTGATTTATAATTGGAATTGGCATTTATTTATTATCAAGAATCTGCGATTGGTGGCTGGAATTGGAGTTGAAAAAGATGTGAATAAGTGAATAATGCATTTATTCATTTGTTATTAAGAAACAGTAATTGATAATTAGAATTGAAGTTGAAAAGATGAGTTTTTTTAAAATTATATTTTTTGGGATTATGAACTTTGGAATTATATTTTTAGGATTATGTTTTTTAAAATTATGATCTTTTGAGATTTTAATCTTTTGGGATTATAATTTTTTAGATTATAATTTTTTGAGATTTTTTTTTTTTAGGATTTAATTTTTAGGATATTATACTTTTGGGATTTTGTTCTTTTAGGATTTAGTGTATTGAGATTTAGTACCTTTGGGATTCTGATCTTTGGAATATTGACCCAAACCTCTAGAAAGTTAGATGGGCTTATTGAAAAGTCAGCATGATACTTTTACAAGTGTAGTTTACTCTAAAAATTATTTTTCTTCTCAGAACAAGCTTTTTAGAGAAAATGCAATCCTTTACAAATTTTTATTGCAAGGCCAATATTAAATTCATAACTGCCAAGTGTCTTTGTCCAGTTGATGTTTCTGACATTATACTGAAACTATAAATTCTTATCTGCATTTGGCATGAACTTTTGATCTGTTAAAACCTTAGAAATAATATAAGGTATAGTATATAAACATCACATTATTTAGTATTTTATCAACAAACATGTTTATTTCACTGACACTTGATTCACCAACAGGCTTAATTCAATTCACTGACAATCAATTCACTAACAATCAATTCACCAACAATAAATTCACCAACAAGATTAATTTACTAAACTTAAACATTATTCTGGTATAATTACTTTGTTAATAAATTAACTATCAGTGATTTGAATGTCAATGTATTGAGTGTTAGTAAAATAAACATGTTGGTAAAATGAGTGAAACTATATTTTTTTTACAGATAAATAATAATACAAATCAATGCCCTATCAAATATTAATTCTAACTAATCTATTTACTTTTTTTGTCATCTATATAGTTTGTAAGTTCTTTAAATACAATATTTTTTTACAGTAAATAATGATACAAATCAATAATCTATTAAACATTAATTCTAACTAATCTACTTACTTTTTTGTTACTTCTACAATGAGTTAATTCTTTATATACAAACTTTTTTTTTACAGTAAATTATAGTACAAATTTATGCTTTATGAATATTAATTCTAACTAATTTACTTACTTTTTTGTACATTCTTTGCATATAATATTTTTTTTAAAGTAAATAATGATACAAATCAATGACCTATCAAATGTTAATTCTAACTAATCCACTTACTTTTTGTTATCTATATAGAAGATAAGTTCTTTACATGACTTTTTTTTTACAGTAAATAATAATACAAATAAATACTCTATGGAATATTAATTTTAACTAATCTACTTACTTTTATATCACCTATATAGTTTGTAAGTTCTTTATATATAACATTTTTTTACAGTAAATAATACAAATCAATGACCTATTGAACATTAATTCTGACTAATCCATATACTTTTTTGTTACTTCTATAGTGAGTAAGTTCTTTATATACAATATTTTTCTTTATAGTAAATAATAGTACAAATCAATACCCTATCAAACATCAATTCTAACTAATCTGCTTACTTTTTGTTATCTCTATATGAAGTAAGGTCTTTTTATAGTAAATAATAATACAATCAATACCTTATCAAATATTAATTCTAACTAATCTACTTACTTTTTTGTCATCTATATAATTTGTAAATTCTTTATATTGACATTTTTTTTACAGTAAATAATAATACAAATCAATGATTTATCAAAAATTCTAACTAATCTACTTACTTTTTTGTCACTTCTACAGCAAGTAAGTTCTTTATATACAAGTTTTTTTATAGTAAATTATGCACAAATCAATACTTTATTGAACGTAATCTACTTACTTTTTGTCATCTATATAGAAGGTAAGTTTTTTATATATAATATTTTTTACAGTAATAATGATACAAATAAATGCTCTATCAAATGTTAATTTTAACTAATCTACTTATTTTTTTGTTACCTATATAGTTTGTATGTTCTTTATATATGATCTTTTTTTTTACAATAAATGTGATACAAATCAATGACCTATCGAATATTAATTCTAACTAATCTACTTACTTTTTTGTCACTTTTACATGAGTAAATTCTTTGTATATGACTTTTTTTTATTTTACAATAAATAATGATACGAATCAATACTATATTGAACATTAATTCTAATTAATCCACTTAACTTTGGTTATCTATATACGAGGTAAATTCTTTATATATAACTTTTTTTTATAGAAAATAATACAGATCACTATTCTATTAAATGTTTTTTTTTATTTCAATAATATCAGAGTAGAAATTTTATTACATTTTTAGAAAACAAAAGTTCTAAGATTAAAGATTTTTAACTACATTTGTGCTACAAATTTGACACCCAATATGATATTACACCTCTTATTTCCTATGATTGCTATTTACTAATTATTTCAAATTAGGTTTAAGCTAGGATAGTTTGGAAGAAACCTAAGATATTTGTTACTGACATTAAAAAAACACATTGTTAGTGAAGAACCATGTAGGAACCATTTTTTAATATGAGAAGAAGCATTAGTCGATTGGTTGATAGTTGTAATATTAGTTGAGGAATTTGAAGAGGTTGGTAGAAATGTTTTTATTTGTTTAGTTTTAGAGGAGATATTGTAAGCTTGTTCCCATTGATGTTAGTAGATATTACGTATAAACCAGAGTTTATAAAAGTACATATTAAGCAAATTGTTAGAAAGATTAAGAAGTAGGGAGTTAGTTTGTTTGATTGCAATTACTTTAATATTGTTGTGGTAATGGTATAAGTGTCTGTAATAGCATGAAGGATATGTTTATATTGAGGAGTTGATGAATTAAGTATGAATTGTAGAAGAATATTGAGTAAAGTTGTAGGTAATATATTTGTGATTTGTAAAGAGAAAAGTGTTTCGTGTATTAAATTATTGAGTAATTGATGGATGTCAGTATCATTTTTTGAACAAATGAATAAATGAAGAGAGTCTTCAAAATGTGAGCATCGAGAACAATTCGGTGTAGTATATAAATGAGGATAATGAATATTAAGATTTTGCATAGTAGATAGGTTGTTGGTCAAAATTTTGGCATGGAAGAAGTATTTTTGTAAGTTGTTTTCAAGTGAATTTATAATTTTAAAGTTAAGGTCCCATTTAATATTTGGTACAGTCAAACCCCTCTATAGTCACCTCCTCTATAATCACAAAATTGGTATAATTACAAATTTATTTTTACCAATTATTTATAACTATATAGGAATACCTCTATATTAGTCACACCTCTTTACAATCACGCTTTTTTGTATCCCGAAGGTGTGACTATAGAGAGTTTTGACTGTATATTTTGGAAAAATTTTAGTGCTGACCAATTAGTCAGTTCATAAATAGTTGTAATATTTTTAATAAAGGTGCGAATTTTAAAGGAGATTAG